TTTTGCTGGCTGTAGCAGCGCTATAGCGCTGCTATAGCGCTGCACAGCAAAAACGCATAAAAAAATAAGGAATGTCAAACGCGAAACGTTAAACAAGAGCATATATAACAAATCACGTAAAATACCAATAAACGCGAAAAGTGAGGTGGAAACATATCCTCTGCCTTCGTTGCTCCTGCCGCAGCTTGTTTTCGCTCCTTGAAGAATGAGGAAGTCGGCCGACGGGCTTCGGACGACTTCTAGTCCGTCGGTGCTAGGAAACTCAGATCTCCACTGTAAGGGATAGGCATTTTGGCGGAAGATTACCTATCCCTGAGATCTGACCGAGGAATCTGGGCAGCTACTCTTAGCTGACTCATATTCCTGGCGCCAACATACACAATTGCGAGGAATGAAAGTGTAGTTGCACAGTCTTCGTACACAAATACTATATGAGTACACATAATTTGAAATTTAATTTTGACTGTGTTTATCACACTTCTTGAGAAATTGTATCTTCTCGACAAAAGGATTGCTTGAATTTTTCCTAGTGATGACACTTGGGATAAAGGAACAAATAAACTTTGTGAAAGTGCAAGCAGAATGGCCTGGCACTGAAGCTTGAATCTCAGAAAAACAGAGAGTTTCATACCGAACGTCTGGTGACTATGATGACCTCTTACGAATACAACAGTAGCTAGTTCAGTATGTGATTTTTTTAAGGTAGACGTCACGGGGAATAGGATCGAGCATTACATTCATCCGGATGATGTACAGAGATTCAGTCAGGTATAAATTTAACAAATCCAATTTCCCACGCATTATTTACGCTGCGTTTTTGTTTGTCCAACTTTATGCAGGAAACTGGAGCTTAGCCAAAACGGCTTTTCCCGAAAAAATCTAACAGCAACAATATTCAGTTTCTCTCGATGGTGTATTATGAAGCAGAGCAGAGCAGCACGAATTTACGTATCAAGTCAACATTGGCAAAACGAATTACCAAGGAATCATTACGTTCTACAATTGGCTTCAAGGCAAGTTGCAGTGAAGCTACTGCCTCAAGCACATTTTTCAAAGCTGCAGAATAAACGAGTTTATTTGGACATGGGTGCATAAAGGATGCACCAGAATGGAACTTGTCACGGAGAAAGCGCGAAAAGCAGTTAACGCAGAAACCGCAACAAAAAAGCATGTACTGCTTCTCGGAAAGCAAGCAGGCAAGCGAAAATGCATGCTACCTTAAAGTGTAGATACACAGTAGATGTGGGGATATGAAGGCCAATGGTTCGATTCTTTGCCGGCGCAAACACATTTGCAAAATAGGGCTCTGTTCAAGAAAAAATTTTGGTCTGTAGGTTCTTAAAAAGAGTACTTGGTGCAGAAGTAATCGATTGAAAAAATGCTCATAAGATAACGACAGGTTGTATCGATGAACGTGAATCTCGTGCGTCGCAACAAGCAACATCCTGGCGAGCAATGCTTCGCTGCATTCGGTCAACCCTTACTTACTTCACTTCCTGCAACTATTCATCTTAACAGTAATTCATTCGTTGTGATAGTTGATGCTGATCTCACAATACACAGCGCTGATCAAAGGTTTCATTTTTAAATTCCTTTACCAAATATAGTTTGGTGTGAAAATCTGCTGTTACTGCTTTTACTGTGATTCATGGCGCATTCCTGATATAGATATAATAACCGGGCTCTTCGATCTTGAATTGTAAGTTTTCAGCCAGCTTTTTACGTGCTCTGTGCAAGAAAACCATCCCATCGAAGAACGTCCAATTAGTCAATTCTCTTTTTTCCAGCAGCACACATTAATACACGACTCTGCTAGCTGCTGGCAAGATCCGCAACGTCTACCTTTACTGCTAACAGTTCATTTACCATTCCTCTCCCGCGGCAGTTTCGCTACCCCCATTTAACTAGACAAAAAAGAAGACCAAAAGTCCTTCTGCACTTCTCCACCATCTTCAATTTCAAGGTAGAAAATTCTTTTCTACCCTTCGCATCGCGGAAGTCCCAAGAAAATCCGACAATAACTGAAGTATGTGCTGCATAATAGCAACATCAGACAGCACATAAAGCGACATGTATGCGACTGGCATACCTACAGATTATTGGTACTTCAGCAAGTGGCCGGTGGTGCAGCGGCCTAGCATGTCGCATTCGAATGTGGGTAGTAGTTCGATTCCTTCCCGCTGCGTCTTCACCTCGTTTTTCCTGCCATCGTAACTCTAATCATCAGACGAAGAAGGCTTCGCATTCATCAGGCAGCAAAAGAGAATCCACTCC